GCCACGACCTGCCACAACCACCAGACTGCCACGACCTGCCACAACCACCAGACTGCCACGACCTGCCAGTGACCTGCCACGACCGCCACAGACTGCAGGTCACTGGCATAACCCATATTTAGGAAATGACTCTTAGATTACCAAATGTTGCCGATTACTACTAATTTATTATTCACAAAAATAGACAAATATAATCTATATTTTTTTATTTCATCCTCCTATCTTGAAAAGTGATTATGATTCTGGAATGTCACTGAAAGTACACTTGTCCTGTTTAGATAATTTTCTAAAATCAGACGGTCATCTTTGTTTGGTTTTCAGAATCCAAAGCCCAACTCGGAGGAGATAACCCTAATTTCTGAGCAACTTTCCATGGAGAAGGAGGTGGTTCGAGTTTGGTTCTGTAATCGTCGTCAAAAGGAGAAGAGGATCTACTGTCCTGTAGCTACTTTACCAGTCAAATCACACAGCTACAACTCCAGAATGGTTAGTTGTAAAATTTGATAATAAACTCTATTGGGTTTATAGCCACTATTAAGATTGTCTGTTTTTTCATCTATGTCTGAATAATAATGGTGCAAATACTCTTTGAGATTGTCTACTTTGTTACTTTCTTTAGTTTTTCATTTATTTTCATCCTTTAGTAATTTAAACTTAATCTATTTTTGTACAAGTTGATTAAAGTACATGTTTATACATCAATAACAACCTTGTATATTAATAGTCTTCTATTGATTTCAAAAATGTTATTTAAAACCATACAATGATTTTATTTCCACATTTTTCATTCTTATATGTCTGATTCCTCAAACCATGACAAATATAACAAATAAGATCTGGCATTTCAAGTTACACACTTTATCTTTCTATATTTGAATTCCTCATCATGCAATCCCAAAATCTGTTTCCAAACTGTTATAGGCCTCAACTTCAAGGTCCTACAGCCCTTTGGCTTCAGGTGGAGGTAAGCGCTTTTTAATTATGTAGCAAATGCCTTTTCCTGAAAGTCTGGGTAGTTTCTGTCAAAATTCAAATATTAAAACGTTATCAAACTACTATAAGCAAAATCTGTTTGATTTTGACTATGTTTGGATTTTTGCATTTCAGTTTCTTCAAATTCATCCCCGAACAGCACGAGTCGGGAACCGTCTCCCAACAGTCTATCTGCAGCTTCAGTTGCTTTGACCTCTCAGGTCAACCCAGCTTCCTACAGTGCACCGGGGTAAAATTAATACCATTAAAGATTTCTCATTTTTACTTTGTGAATCCTTAAGCTTTTCTCATGGTTTCTGTAGATTTTACCAACTCAAACTTAAGACTTTCAAAGACCTATATCTCCACAGAAATGTATGAATTTCATCCAGCCAACTGGCGATAAATTGTCATTAACTCATAGCATGCATGGCTGAAAAATGGTCGCTCGCACTACGTCTTCAGAACGATTTTGTGTTGCTTTATAAGAGCTATAAAGAAAAATAAAACGGAATCATCAAACTACTTTTTGCTCTTACATACTATACAAAAGGTTCAGTTTAGAGTGATTTTAGGCCATACTAAACAAATTCAAATAAAGTAAATGCCAGATTTTATGTCTCTCCTACTACAGTTTAACATGAATGGATGACAACCAGCTGTTGACATGGCAACTGTGCCATGCCAATAAATCAATATTTAATCTTTAACTTGACTTTCATTAATTCTGTACACATCCATAAACACACTAAATCTAACAAACTAATATACATCGTGTCCATCGTCCAGGAGTATAAAATGACTTTAAAACCAGCAGATTTAATGTTTGGCATTTCCTCCTTTCACTGTTTATCCTCGTTTTCTACAGTTGAATTTACTTCCTCTAAAGGTAAAATTACCAAAAGGAGAGCTGAAATTTCTAAATAAAACGCACCTTGATTCAAATTTCAAAGCATGAAACGACCATTTAAATTCATTTGACCATATTACTGGTCCTTTGCGCCCACGGTAGATTTGCAAAAGCTAGCTAAATGGATACCAATGGATGTAGCAGCTAGTTT